AGGACTGGTACTGGCTGGGAGTGGGGTGTTTGCCCACTTATGCTTTACAATGGCTTTTCTGCCATTGCTGCTTTTTATTTTTATGAAGTTCAGACAAGTGACACTTTATGATATAGAAAGAGCCTTCCCTGATACTCCTTTAGGTCTTCAGATGCTTCAGATACCTTCCTGAGATACTTCTTTAGGTCAATATGTGTAGGTACCCTCCAGGAGTCACTTGGTTTATTGGAATTCCTTTCACAGCTGCTCACAACAGTACAAAACATGCATATTATCACTGTACTGATACAGAAGTAGTTGTGCTGAGTTGTTTTGATAGTAAAGGGGGAAACTTCAGAGGATTGAACTATAAGAGCTTTATCTTCCTGCACTGTTAAAGCAGACCTGTGTAGGTGTTACTACATAGAATCATAGGATGGGTTTGGATCAGAAGGGACCTTAAAGATCCCCTAGTTCCAGCCCCCCTGACGTGGGCAGGGACAGCTGCCACTAGAACAGGCTGCTCAAGGCCACATACAGCCTGACCTTGAACGCTTCCAGGTTCCAGTGCCTCACCACCCTCACAGTAAAGAATTTTTTCCTAACGTCTAATCTAAATCTGCCGTTGTTTAGTTTAAAACCATTACCCCTTGTCTTATTACTACGCTCCCTGAAAAAGAGCCCCTCCTTGTCTTTCCTGTATAGGACCACTTTAAGTGTTGGAGGGCTGCTGTTAGGTCTCCCGGGAGCCTTCTCTTCTGCAGGCTGAACAACCCAAACTCTCTCAGCCTGTCCTCATACAGGAGGTGCTACAGCCCTCTGATAATTTTTGTGGCCCTTCTCTGAACTTGCTGCAATAGTTCCATGTCTTTCTTATGTTGAGGACTTCAGAACTGGATGGAGTACTCCAGGTAGGGTCTCACGAGAGCAGAGTAGAGGGGCAGAATCACCTTCCTCACCCTGCTGGACACACTGCTTGTGATGCAGCCCAGGATATGGTTGGCCTGGGCTGCAAGTGCACATTGCCAGCTCATGTTGTTTTTCGTCGGCCAGTACCCCCGAGTCTTTTTCTGCAGGGCTGTTCTCAACCCCTTCATCCCCTAACCTGTACTGATACTGAAGGTTCCCCTGACCCAGGTATAGAACCTTGTACTTGACCTTGTTGAACCTCATGAGGTTCTCATGGGCCCATGTCTTGAGCTCATCCAGGTCCGTCTGGATGGCATTCCTTCCCTCTGGCATGTCTGCTGCACCACTCAGCTTGGTGTTGTCTGCAGACTTGCTGAGGGTGCACTCAATCCCACTCTGCATTATTGATGAAGATATTAAACAGTACTGGTCTCAGTACGGACCCATGAGGGACACCACTTGTCACCAGTCTCTGTCCAGACATCGAGCCAGTGACCACTACTCTTTGGATGTGACCATCCAACCAATTAGTTTCATTGAAGTCTGTGTTCAGCCCGGCCACATTGTTACTGGCTGTACTATACAGCATGGAAAGAGAGTGGACTGCAGGATATTAAGTGGAGAGGGTGGACCCTTCTTTGTATAGGCACAGCTGGTAGGGTGCCTTTGTGTCCACCTGGACTTTGAGCTGTTGACTGTAACTCTTTTGAGTCTGACCATCCAGATAATTCCTTATCCACCGAGTCATCCACCTGTCAAATCCATGTCTCTCCATCTTGGAGACAAGGATGTTGCACAGGATAGTATCAAATGCTTTGCACAAGTCCAAGTAGATTACATCAGTCACTTTTCCCTTATCTATCAGTGCTGTAACTCCATTGTAGAAGGCCAGCAAATTTGTCAGGCACAATTTGCCCTTAGTGATGACAGGTTGGCTGTCACCAATCACCTATTTGTTTTCCATTTAACTTAGCATACTTTCCAGGAGGATCTGCTTCATGATCTTGCCAGGCACAGAGGTGATTCTGACCAGCCTGCAGTTCCGCAGGCCTTCCTTTTGTCCCCTTTTAAAAACAGAGGTTAAGTTTTCCCTTTTCCAGTCACTGGGAACTTTACCAGTCTGCCATGACTTTTCAGACATGGTGGATAGAGGCGTAGCAGCTTCAGGACCAGTTTCCTCAGGACCTCAGATGCACCTCATCAGGCAGTTGATGGCTTTGATCTATAAGTAAGGAAAGACAACAGAAAAGATCAGCAGGGTATGCTCTGTGCAGGTCCCTCTTCTCAGCTCTTTCAAGTACCTGGAGGGCTAGTTAGCTATCAGTATGTAGGTTCATGAAAATGTTTCATGCTCTTGAGAAATTTCAGCTTGTTCTGCTTTGATTGGTGGCGCATGCTATCTTACTGAAAATTTTGGCTTTTTACATTCAGGTAGCTCAAGCACTTGAATTTTCAGTGTGCAGGTATGTCAAATTAAGTATGTAATGTGCACAGAATGGGAGTCCTTGTGTCCTGTGTGTTTAGAGAAACTTGAGCAGAGCACACAGTAGGCTACTGGCAGAGATGTCCCATGCAGCACAGATGAGTTCATTTTGTAACCAGTCCCAAGAACTAGGAGTGGGGGAGCTTTCTTTAATTCATATTTCTCTCTCTTGGAAATAAACACAGCAGTACTAACACCTCCAAAGTTTGTTGTGTTGTGTTGTTTTGTTTTCCTCCCTGTATCTGACAGCAGAAAATTGTCTAATTTTTGAAGGGTTAATGCAATAGTATATTTCTGTGCTTTCAATCCTGACATCTTGTTCCCATTTGTTCATCTTTGCCATGCTATGGACAGCAAGGTGGGAGAAGTACTTCTGTATTACTGTTACTGTGAGGTGGAGGATCCAGAGAAACTCTGTGCTTGGCAAAAGGCTCTGTGCCAGCATCTGCATCTCACTGGCAAGGTAAGCTTTTAGGCAGTGGTTGTATTCTTAACAAAAAAGCATCTTTCTTGCTTAGTGCAAGACAGTGGGGCACGTGGCAAACCAAGTGTTTCTCACCAGAAAGTGTTAGTCTGTTACGATCCCATTAAGAAAGGCACTCAGACTTTGTAAAGTATCATTTAAAATGATGTTTAAGAGTTAATGCTACAAAGAAAAAGTAAATAACACAGATTATCTTCTGTCTCTTTTGATGCTGGGAACCTTAGTTATGCAGCACTGAGTGAGCTTCTGATCCATGTGCAGCACACTGTGCAGATCCTGTCCTTGCAAGGGTTACCTCATTTCTATAATTTGAACTTTTACAACTTTGTTTTTGTTACAGGACAACAAATATTTTCATTACTGTTACTGTCAAACAGAAAGGATATTCATGTGAGAACTTCCTGATGTGCTTTTAGATAAAGGCAAGGGCATGCAGCTGGCATAATCACTGGCATCAACAGGGAGCTGCATGCAGGCATCTCTGTTAGGATTATTGGGGTGGGTTTATCCTGTAGCTAAAGAATATGTGCAGTATAACACAGCCTCAAGGCCACGCTGGAGGCACAACATGGTGTAGCAGGGGTCTGGGCTTGCTCCAGTTAACTGCTACGTGTGTCACGAACTCCTCAATGCACAGTGCTCTTCCAGTCAGAATCACTGTACCAAGCTGTAATGCATACTGTCAGGAATGAGAGGAACTGACATGTTATATCACACCACAGGACAGCAGTGCTCATTCCTGCACAGAGTCTTTGTTCTTTTAGTGCCTGGCAGTCTAGACTAAGGAGGGGAGTTGGCTCATGTAGCTGGCTTCTGGAGGCTGTGGGCAAAGGTGAATGGAGCTGATGTTCCTAGGCTGGCTGTGGAGAGAAGAATTTATGAAGAGGGCAACTCAGAGCAGGAGACTACTTTTATCTTTGACTTGTCTTCCTAAGTAGCCTCTTTATCTCTGCCAATGTTAGGCTCCTTCCCGGTTCTACATCAGTGTAAATCTGGGGGTGAAATGTCCTGATGCGTTCACCTTTTTTATTTTTTTTCCTCAGCTATCTTATCTGGTGGTAGGTACTTTTCTAATATTTTTTTTTTTTAGTTTTTAATCTCAAAGACAGGTACAGCATTTGCCTTCTCAACCAGTTGGGTTTTTTCCTTGCCTCCTATAATCAGTCTTTTTTTCTTTTTTCACCACCTTAGAGTTTTTGTTCATTTGTCAATGCTGAAGATAAAATGACTCACACTGAAATTTAATATGTGCAGTATTATGCATATTCACATTTTCCTTTTAGCTGTGTGAGTCATTGGGCACAATCTTATTGTTGAGGCAGACTTCCAGTGGGAATTTTAATGCTGACTGCACGATTTGTGTGTTAACCAGTTAGTGTTTCTCTATTGCACAAACATTTCTGACTGTTCTTATGTCATTCTCTTGAAATGGCTCAAAAGTGATTATGGAGGTTTAATTCCTGTTTTATTTACTGTCGTCTTTATGTTCCATTTCAGTATAACCATCTTTTCCTTCCTTCCTTAGTAGTCTCTTTTCTAAACATACTTTCATGTCTGCCTTTTGTCATCCAGTCATATTTTGCTAATTTCATGGTGATCTCTTTTTGCTGTTACTACGCCTTAGCCCCAGCTTCTCTTGCCTTCTAGGTACGAGTTGCTTCAGAAGGGATTAATGGGACAGTTGGTGGAAGCAAAGTAGCTACCAGTCTCTACATTGAAGCTATGCTTTCTCAGCCTCTATTCAAAGACATTTTGTGCCAAGAGGATTTCAAGGTACGAAGAGATAATTTCTACATAGACATTGTTGATGCAGTACATTTAATTTTTGAGAAATAAGCACATAGTTTCTTGATAGTATTACTGCTGCTCTAGCAGTTCTGCTTTCCCAGTACAGATCTAAGCAAAGGGTTCCTAGCCTTTCTTTGTTTAGATACCTCTGTAGGTTTTCACCAGCAGTAGCAGTTATTGTGAGCAGTGACAGCAGCTGCTACAAACTTTGGGAACTGTGGGTACAGCTGCAAAGCCCCCCATACAGTGGGATGAGAGAGTGTGCTTCAGCCCCACCATTCTTAAACAAGCATTTACTCCAACTTGACAGCCAAAACCAAGGCATCACAACATATGCTTCCCCAAGCAAACTATTCCCACACTCGCTTCTTCACCCTGATTTGAGATCCTTGCCTAGAAGCCTACTGGTTTAGGTTCATGCAGACTTTGCTGTCTGAATAGGTGCACATGAACTGAATGTCTTCTAGAGAAAATACACAGGCAGAGTCAGGAGGTTTCTGCCTGTTCCAGTTAGTGCCTGACTGGAGGGAAAATGAGGTGCTAAATTCTGCTTAAACCTGAGCATATGTTCTGATTGCTGTCTTCAGATGGTGGTGGCAGCTGTGGCTGTCACTGTATGGCATTCTGGTAGGGTTTTGCTGCCCCAGCACTATAGGTACTAGTTTCTCTGTAAGGAAGGAAAACTGCTGCTTTTATTGCATTTTTCTTCTCCACACAGTTTGGGGTTTTTTCCATAAATAACAAGATCAAAGGAGCTGGTGAAATCCCATCTAGAGCTGCAGTGCTGATTCAGTTTTACCTTTTTAGCTGTTGTGCTTGGCTGAATTTCAAGAGTAAATGTGACCTGTTAGTTACAGTCATGTGTAGCTCCAAAAACGGAACAGGGACGGAATTTTACTGTGACCTTGTCAAAACCTCCAACCCTGCAGGATCTTTCTGATCATCAACATCCATGCATTAGTACATGGTGGTATTTTATGTCTCATAGTTACTCTGCATGCTGTATATGCGAGTAAGTTGGGGTTCCAGGTCCTTGTGCCATTAAAACAGGGGCACAGAAGAGTGAAAATTGCACTTGGGGCTATGAAAATATTCAGTGGCCACTGTAGTTGCTGCAGATTGATGTCTGTGATAGCTGGGACAGTGCCGCACAGTACTGCATTTATGTTTGACTGTTTATATGCTTGGTAATGCCTAAGCCATGTTTGAGGCTCAGTCCTGCAGAAATTTTCATGGCCTATTGCTTGCATTGTGAGTGCCTACCAAAAAAGGCTTGCCAAGACCTATGAAGGGGAAATCTTGCACTTGAGTTTGCGGAGGCAGAGGGTGTCAGGCTCCACTGTTGACAGATCTTGAGCCTGTCTGACCTCCCATATGTCTCTTTAACGCCCATGAGCCACTGTGTTTCCCATAGCATATGTCATGACTGGAGGCCTAGCTGTGCATGTGTCAGGAGTCAGAGGGGCTGGAGAGGACAGCAGGGCCATGATGTGTCAGTGAGATCTGTTACTGAAGGAGATTATTTACTATTTCTGTCAGGGTCAGCATGGTCTGTAGGGGCCTTGACTTGTTTATGATAGGTGCTAGTGATGTTGCTTCTCACCAAGATCTGTTCTCCTTCCCACTTCTCAGTGACTCCACCTTTCACACCCAGCGGTGCCTGGCTCACGTGCAAAGTAGTCAGTGGGCCTAAGGCACCTGTCTGCCAGGTCATGGTAGGAGTCCACTGCCTAAATCTCAGGATTGAGATTGTGGATTTCAGCAGGGAAGACATTTCTTTCCCTCACTACCAAGACACTTTCATATTCTAGTGAGATGTAAAACTTAAAGTGAATGGATAGTTTTAATCTTGACACTTGGCAAATTTTAGTGGATTGTTTTTGTGTTTAATTTCCTAGAGCAGTGCAGGAGGAGCTCACTGTTTTCCAGACCTTCGAGTTGGAGTATTCAAAGAAATTGTACCTATGGGCCTTGATCCAAAGATAGTGTCTTATAAGGAAACTGGTAAGTTAATTTCATGAAAAATAAAGCCTGTCTCCCAAGTGAGAGGTAAGTGAAGAATAAAGTACCTTCATCGAAAATATTTCTTTCTGCACAGTGACCAGGACACAGGAGAAGTAGATAGAGAAGTTGATATCTTACTAGTAATCAAAAGTTATTGGTGCAGTGAATTTGCCCAGGTTTTGGTTTCTTAAGTGTTCAGCTGCCTCAGAAAAGTTTAGAATTAACTTTCTGGTTTGTGACAAACCATAATTCAAATGACATCAAGCAGTTACCTTGTTTTGAGGCAGGGACATACCTTGTGCTTTAGTCAGGGAGTAAGTCATTAGACACCTGCCAAAGACAGATGTAAGGTGAAACTATGTATGATGATTAGAAAAGATATTTCAATGCATGAATATATTCAGACTTCTTGTAAATATTCTGTAGGTGCTTGAGACTGCTCAGGAATTATTTCATATAAAGAGCTCCAATGCTCTCTCTTGCAGTAAGAGAAAAAGAAATTTAAATCTTTTTCACTGTTTCTTTTACAACTGTAAGAGTTCCAGAGGGACAGAACAAAGATCATACAGACAGGCGCCAGTCTGCTGCTGCTTCTGTCATATGGAATAGTGTTGTGTTTTCTTTCATTTGTGAATAGGAAGCCAAACATGGATAAACTTGGCAGGTTGAGTTAGGACTAAAAGTCTGTGAAACATCATAGAAAATTTTTGGTTGGAAATCCGAGGAGAATCTGGATCAGAGAGATCATACATATTATCTTGTAGTTCTGCTTCTTACTTATTTCTCTTTTTTTCCTCCTTTTTTCCCATTTTTAAAATTTTTTCCTTTTTTTTCCTCCTTAAAGGAATACATTTATCCCCTCAGGAATTTCATAGAGAAGTAGAACAGTATTTGTCTCAGGCCAGTCAAGGACAAAGCGATACCATCTTGCTGGACTGTAGGAACTTCTATGAGAGTAAAATAGTAAGTGTTGTTTGCCTGCTGCTTGCAGTGTGTTACAGGTGCTGGGGGGAAGCAGATCACATTGTGAGGGTGTAGCCTTATTGGAAGAAGAGTTTCCATATTCCTGATTGACTATAATACATAAAGAGTTCAGGTTAGTAATGAATGTTAAACACAAGCAGCAGAGGACCTGCTCAGTGAGTCAGCATGGAGCCTGCCCAGCTAAATGCTTAGACAGCTTGGGGCAGGAGTAAGACAAAGTGGTCCATACAGCATTAGCAGTGAATACCATATTGTTTGAAGTACAAGTAGCATAATTTGTAAGGATGTTTTCCAGCATTTTTGCCTTGTCCCACATGTCAGAAATAATAGATGCATCCTGCTGTCACACTCACCAGTCCTCCTGCACTGTTGTGGCTTGTCCTCTCTCTGACAGTTCTATTCTGCTTAACTCCTTCTTTTATGCTTGTATGAGGAGGCATACTATGTCTGGAATCCTCTTACAGATGTTAATAGGTATTTTGATGCATAAATGCAGCTGAGGAACTGCCTAAGGCACCTGCAGTGAGCTGAGTATTCTAGCCCAAAGGTTTGTTACTTTCTCTAGTTCAAGGCACAGACTTTACTGTGTCAGATTGCTTGTAACCAGTCACGTGGCTGTCTACTGTTACTGCAGGGACATTTCCAGGGCTGTCTGGCTCCAGATATCAGGAAGTTCAGCTATTTTCCCAGCTACATAGATGAAAACATGGAGCTTTTTAAAGACAAGCGTGTCCTGATGTACTGCACGGGAGGGATTCGTTGTGAAAGAGGCTCTGCTTACCTACGGAGCAAGGTGAGATGTCATTCTGAGGGCACAAGTGTTGAGACTGCTTTAAAGGCAGCTGTCTTTTCTTTTGCTGGTAAATTCTTACTGAGCACAAAGTTCTTAATGAGCACGTGGGGAAATGACTGTCTCTGACGCACACTTGCCTCACGCTCTCTGTCAAGGATGTGGGTAGTTTAATGCAGCTCAGGATGTTCTGTGTGGACTAGTGATTGCTCTGCAAAAATAGTTGTATAACCCATTTCATAAGGAGAGGTATTTGTATGTCTGCCATGCCCTTTGTAGTGATGTTTTAAGAGGGCTTGTGAGCATTCTGCAGTGTTTCATCAAGCTCTGTCTAGGTTATGCTCTGTGGTCATTACTGCACAGCTTGAGCACCTCGGAGTGGTGAAAATGAGCCAGTCAGTGCTTTTCCAGTGTTGTGGAACTAAATTCAGCACACTGCATTGTTGTAATTGTGATTTCTGTCCCACTCTTCTCCTGGATCTGTCCCTCAAGGAGGAAGGGAACAGCACACATATATGTTCTCCAGAGATTTAAACTCTGATTTTCTTTTCTCTGCTGCACCAGTATGAACCCTGAGAAATTCTGCTCTTGCTAACAGTGTACTATATAAAAACAGAATAAGCAGCAGTTCACAGAGATTCAAAAGCGTTTGATCTGTGATGCAGCAAACTGCCCTCAGCTGAGGAGGTTACCACCATTTTTTTTGACTGCAACATTAAATGCACGTTTGAGTTCATGTCTGCAAACCAGCATTGTGGAGCTGCCCAGTAATCCCTGGCAGCACTGCCTAGAGCTGTGTGTGCATGTGGTGCCATCTGATGGTCACTGAGAAGCTGCTGCTTTTCGTTGACCCCTGGCATTTACAACAGTGGCTTTGGGAACTCTGGCACGCCACCACTGCCGTCTCCTTCAGCTTTTCTGCTAATATGCTTTAAACAGGCAGTGTGCAGAGAGGTTTACCAGCTAAAAGGTGGAATTCACAAGTACCTGGAAGAGTTTCCAGATGGATTCTACAGGGGGAAGCTGTTTGTGTTTGATGATCGTTACGCCATTTGTTCCAATGAAGATATCATCTCAGGTAGGACTAGATAATGTAAGTGCAGAAGGCTGGGAAGCTATTGCAGTCATTTCCACAGAGATGTGCAGGATAGGGGCAGCCAAACTGGTCTGTGTAGTTCTTCCTCATACTTGGTTTGATCTTTTAGTGCTATCACTTTTCATTATGATCATCAACTGTATGGCTTTAACATATAAAACAGAAATGAGAGAAAAGGGGGTCGCTATCTGGAGTTCCCTAAAACTGGGGCAGTAAAAGGAAGCATCCCCTACAGAACAGCTGCTGTTATGAGCTATCTGCAGCTATGGAGATGTATGTCAAGCCCTGCTGCTGTGGTTTACCACTTGTTGCCCACAGAACTGATCAGACTGTAGTTGGCCAAGTGACCACAGCGTTAAATAGTTCTCCTGCTGTCAGCTGTTCTCTGCTCCAGTAATTTCACAGAACATCAGCACAGACTGCCAGGCACTGGGAGAGTGGTGGCACTAGGCTCTACAGCACTTTGTTATTTTCATGCTTTAGAAGTTTCTGTAGCCTACAGATTTCAGTGGCCTCTAGTTTAAGATATTAAGAACATTGCCTGGTCTTCTGGCTGGGGTCGCTCTTCAGATATTGCAAATGAAATACCTGTTTTCTTCTTCTCAGAGGACAGGTACAAACAGATGGAATTTGGCTCTCGCCTTTTTTAGGAAGCTGTTCTTTTATCTAAGTGGGTAACTTTTTGAGCATAACCTCCCATTCTTCCTCTGCAATTACCATATACATCTTCAAGGTGCCTGGCTTGGTGTAGAAACAGTACATGCTCTGGATACATCACAGGCATCCCTACAGAAGTTTCCAGGGGAAGCACTGGGGAAGGTGCCTTCTTGATGGTACAGCTACACTGGGTTAAAACTTGTCTGATGTTGTGGAAGGACTTTCCCAGGACTGCAAATGACACCTCATGTGCACAAGCCATTGCTTTTAGGTGGAAGGAAATCCTGTGGCACCACCTTCGCCAGCAGGCAATGTTCCTGTGTAGTTACCACCAGCACATCTATCTTCTCTTGGCAGTAAAAATCTTCAAATCCGTGTGATCAGAACTAGAGGAAGCACTAGTGAGCACTTTTCCTTGTCCCAAGAGACAGCTGTCCTAAGTTTTTTACATCAAAATCAGAAGTTTAAAAATTAACTAGGTTCTAGAAGATCAAGCTAAATCGGGAACCAAAAACCTGGAAGACAATAGATAGCCACTTGAATGAGAGACTGGAGCCCCCTGGTGCCACAGAGAATCCTTTGCAAGGGGGACAGATAGGCAAATAGGGCAAATAGGTGTTAACTTTTCTTTTCACCTGTTTCCAGCATGCAGATATTGTGGGACCCTGTGGGACCAGTATAAACTTTGTTCCAGCCAGCACTGTCGGCAGCTTGTCCTGACATGTCCAGGTTGTCAAAACAGAGGTCTTACAGCTTGCTGTTCTGTTTGTCAAGAGAAAGAGCTCAAGGTGACTTCAAGAGCTTCAGGAGAGACACTTAAGGAGGAATGTGAATGCACAAGGAGACGGCCGAGGGTACCTATTGAACAAGTCTCGCAAAGGACGCTGGGTGCAGGAAAAGATTAAGCTGTTTCATTAGCTAATCTGACACGTGCTAATGCGAAGAGCTTCTATAACCGGATCCCTATCTATTATTCAGTTATGTTTGGAATAATGAAAAAGTGTTGGCTTGGAAAGTCTTTTTCATATGCTGTCTTGACTTCTGTGTAAAACTGGCTGAAGGCAGCGTAAGGACCCCTCTTGTAACTGGAACAAAGGCCCACACATACTGTCCAGCTATACTTGTGTGTGACCTGTAGGATGAACAGCAAAAGTAATCCTCGTTCCAGTGCTGTCTCACCGAGAACCGTTGTTTCCCTCAACTTGTCAGTGCATGAAATATCCAGGGCTCAGCTCTGCTTGCACTAGAAACAAAGACGACAGCTTGAAGCATGTTGAAACTGAGACACACAGTTTCTGAGCACAGAGACTGTCAAAATACCAGCGTCGTGGCACTGGAAGTGATGCTGATGTGTGCATAAATGTCAGCAACAGCTGTAAGGAGACTGCAAGATCCTTTATTCAAGTTCAGCAATTCAAGATTTGGGGAGCATTTGTGCTTTGTAAACATGGGTTGAGGTTTTCAAAAGCTGTGCAATGTTTATGCAATTTCCAGCTCCAAAAATAGGAAAACAGTTTGCTCTGGTTTATGCAGTTGCTGAATGACAGTTATAGCAATGTTATTTTCATATTGATTGCAACTTTCTCCCCCAGTACTATGAAATCAGCAAGGCCTCATCGCTGGCTTGACTAGCAACTTAACGACAAGGGCTTTGGTTCCATTTAAGCTATGGCAAGCATTTTTGCTTAATTCCAGCATTGCTACTGTGAAATCAACAGTTCAGCAACTGTCTTTATGGCCCTTCTTTTCACAAAGCAAAACCTTGAAGCTTATGAATGTCTCTTTTGGGACTCAGATGGTATTTAATGCTACGTCTGTGCACAATCCATACTGCAGAAGAAACTGTAAAATTCCCATCAGTAGACATCCTCAGCAGAAGTCTAAGCAGTGCCCATGGTCCCCTGGCAGCTTGCTTCCAAGCTTTGCTGGCCAGTTAACCTCTGTGCTCTTGAGGACTCGAATATTTGTGGAAAAAATATGCAGGCTCTACTTGCAGGCTTGGTCTAGAGTGCGATGGGAATGCCCCAACTTCCATATTATGCTCTCTTTTTATGTATTAGGCTAGAAAGAAAACAGTTTTATAATTCAGTCTATTGGCAAGACTGTAATCTATGTGGAAGGCTGTTTCTATATCACTCAGTAGTACAGAATGACAACTATATTTTATATGTAAAATTCTGAAACTTCTATGATGATAAATAACCTTTAGTGCTTCCATCATAATTTTTACAGTACTGCACAAATATACTTCACCTGTATGTCAGAGGTTCTTAATTCTGCAGAGGTAAATGCTGAAACCTAGCTAGCTGTCTGCCATGTGTTAGACCTGGCTACAAGGTACAATTCTCCTGAGAGCTCCTGGCAGCTGGACATTCTACCTCAAAGGCAGAGGGGAGCCATGGGCCTCTTCTGGTCCTTGCTGCACTAAGGTAAGGGAGGAGAAGGATTTCAGATGTACAGATGGGAGGCCTGTAAAGCCAGGTTTCCTCTGCTGCAGAGAGGAGAGGAAGAGTAAGAGACATCCTTAGCCTCCCTCTTGCAAGTTATCCCATGAGCTGCTTGTGTACCCTGGCTTCTGGATTAGTTTTGTCAGATTAATACAAATAAGGACTCACCATGTGAAATGCTCTGTGCTGAGATCCAGGCACTTCAGCGGTAATACCTGAGAGAAGGTGCATAAGCTCCAGGAGAGGTGAGTTAAGCAGGATTGGCTGTGCCTGCCAGATGCTGCAGTCAGCAGATGGCTTCTTCCCCTCTTCTTGGATTGCTGCTGGGACAAACTGATCCATTTGCTTCTAAATATCACCATGTTGTAGCTCCATTGCTGGACAGCTCAATGCCTTTCTGCACAAAGCCTGATACCTCTCAGCACAGCCTGTCTCTGCTGCACAGCTCTAAGCTCTCACATGCATCTTTCAGCAAAGCGGCTTTATAAGAATCAGCTGAGGAACCTGGAGTGATCCTGCTAGCTTAATGTATGTTTGGGCTGCATGGTTAATTTGGTTTTTGCCTTTTTTTTTTTTCCCCCAAGAGCTACTTTTTCTCATCTGGGGAAAAAATGCTGTTGTAGTATCCACAGTGGCATGCTCTGCCCTGCAGATGCATGTCCTGGTGAGTCTGGGTTTCTTGGTGCCACTGGGATTTCCCAGGATGAGATGCATTTATGTTGTTTTGAAACCAGTGGAACAGCTGAGCCTGTGCCATGCAAATCTGAGTGGATGGCTCAGCTGAAACTGGCTCTGGTTTGATGATGTAGTTGACCGTTTTGAAGTCTTTGCAGTGCATATGGAAGAAAGAGGCTGCCAGTTTCTTTCCTTCTTTTTTTTTAATATGTTGTCAAGTATTTTTCTTCTATATTCTTTTCATTTTCTGATACAGAATTTGCAAGGTTGAGGGAAGAAGCTATAGTGAAACATTTTATTTGACACCACCAGTGCATTTATTAAGATCTGAAGAGCAACAAATATGTTTCCCATGTTGCTGAAAGTATAGTGTTTCTCTACTTCGTTGGTCATAGCTAAATCGTGTGGTATTTGTGCACACAAGCTCTGAAGGGACTTTTGCTGCAATACATGTAAAAGACTGCAAAATTTCACTACTAACAGATGTGTACAGACACATTTCTAGCAAGTGAGAACATTTCTAGGACACGTTGTCATCGCATCAAAAATAAGCCTTCACTATGTCAATGCTTTTACCAAGCAGGATCCCACCCATGTTAATAGCAGGAGTTTTGGATGGGATAGTGCTGGGTCTAGTCCACTATGTATGTGGGAACTATGCAAGCCTGTGGGCAACTGCTCCTGGGCTAAAAATGATGGGTGGTGGACTGGCGAAAAGCTGCCAGACTGCATGCAGTGTGCATTCAGAGCTGGGACATTTCACTTAACAGCTTTTCTAGGGCACAGCATTTATTGTTGCATTTATGCAGACATTAGGGACAGCAGTAAAAGAAAATATCCCTAGCAGAGTAAAATTTAATTAATGGATATTGTCATCTAGACAAAACAGCAAAGAGAAAATCGGACTTGTTTCCGGAGAGTACCTGGACATACGCTATTAACACGAAACTGAAGGGAGTAGGGATTAGAAGAGAGTCCTCAGGATTGCTGATTAGTTTGCCCATCTCTGTGGGGCTGAGATTTGCATTACCTCTCTAAAAGTGACCATTTTCTTCAGACATGCGTAGAATAGAAGGATATTAAACCATCAGACTGCTCGGTTTTTCAGACTCTGTTTTATAATTGGTGGCCTTAAGTTCCATTTAATCGGGGATAGTGTTTTTCTAAACACAGGGATGCATTTGAAACAGCATCTCCAACTGACTCAGCAAATGTTGGTAAAAAATTGTAATACACAGTTCTTGAAGTTAGCCATGTTTCCATGCAGTAGAAGTGCTTGTTAAACTAGTTGCTCCTCTATAGTTACTTGAGATCAATTTGAAAAAAAAATAAAGTATTTTTTTAATACTTCTATAATTTGTGTGGAACAATTTTATCTTTCACTCATGCACACCACATCCTACCTGTATGATCTCTGTGCAGGAAGTTTATAGAAAAATTAGATCCCAGGTTAATTAAGAGTCACTTTTACACTGGGATGTACTTTAAACTGAGATTGCATAAAATTGGCTTGAATAGTTTCCAACTCTACAGAAAATATCAACAGTCCTACTGAATACAATCTTCAACTACAGCCACTAGTTAATTTAAACTGCTATTGTATAAAACAGAGCTGAGGCACCACAAATACTCTGTCAAGGCACTTTTTGCCTTCAGATTTCCACAGTGCAGCGCAGATCGCTGGGAATGACCTCTGTAGCCAGGAACTACACTCCAGTTCTGCACTTGGGAAAAATCGGCCCATTCAACTCCGCCAGCCTTCTCTTCCTCACTGAAAAAGAAGGAGGGGAAGAGGAGTCAGTTGTGGCAGCAGAAGGTGGATAGAGGCTTGGCTTGCCTGCTGTGGAAAGGAGCTGAGAGACGCACTTTCTGCCAGGAAAGAAACAGGGTAGCGCCAGCTTCTGAATTCCTGCCTGAAGCAGCAGGAACAGCCTTGTGCAGTTTAAAATTAGGGAGGGCAAGATGAGGTTTCTGTCCCTATGAATTTTTAAGGCCAGAAGCTACTTTCAGCCTTACCTCCTTTATTCTGCAGTTAATTGTGTTTCACACAGTTTGTCCTGCAGTTTGGTCTGCAACCCTGATCACGGTTAACATGGTCAAAGTAGTCTCATACCTATTCATAATGTTGATTTACAGCTCTGACAGCTACGCTCAAGGCTGCGAGAAATGTGTGTGAGGAAAAAAAAGGCATAAAGAGAAGTTAGCTCATGAAGGTGAATGTAAAAGCCTTCATTGTTGGTTCATATGGACCATCTTAGAGAAAAGAAGCTATAGGACCAAAACCAAGTTCTGGTAGGCAAGAGCACTGGAGTGGAGCACAAGCAGAGCAGCTGTTGCTGACAGGTAGGAAAATAAAGTTTTTCTATACTTATACGTTTCAACTTATACGTTGTCCAGGTGTGCAGCTGAGACACTATTGCTAGAGACCATCACACTGATGAATACGAGCTGCAAACAAGAATCAAAGCAGAGAAAAATGCAGATCTTATGGTCAAAGAGGCAAAATACACAGCTGTTACATGAAAGGCAAGTTGTGAATTTGTCCCCTTAACAGCAGAAACAGTTAAAACACTAGATTGAATTCTTCCAGCTTACTACTTTGTATGCCAGGTGCTGCATGGTCATTAAAACCCTTGCTCTGTTCTAAAGGACAGAAAGCAGCAAGCCTGGTGCAGCTTGCTAGTGACCGTGAATGCAGCCACACGCAGAATAAATACGCAGTGAACCATAATAGTGAGTATTCTGTGTGGTCCCTGAAGAACCGGCACATACAGGCTGCCCAGAGAGGTTGTGGCGTCTCCTTCTCTGGAGACATTCAAAACCCGCCTGGACGCCTTCCTGTGCAACCTCATCTAGGTGTTCCTGCTCCGGCAGGGGGATTGGACTAGATGATCTTTTGAGGTC